AACACAACTTTGTGTGTGTGTTATTTAACGTGCTGTGTCCTGTATGTTATCAAGGGAAACCTCTCTGTGAAGGAGCAGAACCCACTTTCCAAAAATGTGTAACCTGCTTAACAGGGACTTCGTTCCTGTCCGAAGTATAGAATCTGAGCTCACACTTTAAATCTCTGCATTCAGTTGTTAAAACAAGCCAAACTAACACACAATGCAACCATGACAGCCACAATGGGAAAGTTCTATATGTTGTTTTGCCACACCAGCCAATACTTATTCAGTGTTCCCATGACAACCACTCACAAACAGGGTTGTAGTGAGTTTTACACACTTGTGAAACTTCTATTAAGTTTTGACTAAATTACCTGAATTGTCATTATAAATTTCAGGCAACCCTGGTTTGAGCATTATAGACATAAGAACATAAGTCAGATTGTATTGTCAGGACAATGAGTGATCAGCAATATAAAGTACTGTGCAAAGGTCGTGATCGATCCTTCATGTTTTTGTTTTTCTGCTTTCTAGGAGCCAGACTGTAACGAGTTCAAGGAAAAACGTGCTCTGTAATTCAACTACCACAAAATATTTCATAGGAAAATATTTATTATGAGCCTGCTGGATGGTTATGAAATGTATGGTTCTTTGGGGTTCTTAGAGGTTGGATTATTTTTAGCACAGAAGGCATGTGGGGGAATATTACACAAATAATGCCTGGAGCAGACTCTGACTCCTGTAGCTGCTGTACCACTTTCACTACATTACATTTTCAAATAGTTACACAGTTATCGTTCTTCTTTAGGCTAGTGAAGTGTTACACCACCACAATCAACTATAGCTCCTTGTTCACTGGCACCAGTAAATACATTACATCAGCACAGCTTCTATGCATTAATTGGAAAGTCTCATATAAGGACACGTGTAAGCTGCTTCAGGATGCCCTTATATGCTGCATATGTGTATGTCATTTTGCAACCCAGCTTTAATTCAATATTCAATATGCTTTCCTGTGGAACGTTTTGGGCCCACCTACACCTCCATGCAAAGGAGCCCTCCTCCCCCTACGCAGGCGCGGTCCCAGCCTGTTTGCTGCCCTGGTTGAACACTCCCTCTCAAAGACTCATCTGTTTACCTGCATCTTTTTCTCCTCTTCTTTTCTCTGTTTTCTGAACTCAGGACCTGATGGCTTTGACCTTTTCTTCTCCATCTTTCATCAGTAATTCTGCACTCCAGTATCAACACCCAACCCCACAACATACACTAATAGACTAATAGGCCTACACCTTGTATCTGGGATTTCACACAACCCAGGAAAAATAATTGATACATAACGGGCTTGGATTTACAGCATTATGAAGGAAATTATGGTCTGTTTGGAAGCAGCCCGCCCCTGTTGACAGGTTGTGTGTGAGGCTTCAGCAGCGGCGCAGCAAGGGCCCTCGAGCTCACTTTTCAATTATATGTGATAGAATTTAGAAAACACATTAGTGTAAATTACTGTCTGTATCATAATGTCTTCAGTTTTTGTGTTTGTTGTAGGGCTGTCAATGTTAACACGTTAACACCGTCATCACGATTAATGTGATTACAATTTTTAACGCAATCAACTTATCTGGAGCACAGAAGGGACAGACTTTGGACAAACAGAGACATTTCAGGGAGTTTGAGTCATTCTGCGCTCCAAATGGTTTAATTGTGTTAAAAATTGTAATCGCGTTAATCACGATGACGGCATTAACGTTGACAGCCCTAGTTTGTTGGTTTATTTTAGTTTAGTTTTGTGAGCTGGTTATT